AGGGCGAGGCAACCACGCCCCCACCAACGCTGCCGGCTCTGGGGACTTGGTCGCTGAGGGTGTAGAGCTTGTAGATGACAGAGATGGCCGCCACCTCGATGAGGACATGGAGAGCAGTGAGGCCGGTGAAGAGGCAGAAGAGCAAAGTGAAAGCTCTGCTGGTGAACCAGAACGGTTCAGCAAATCGAACCACCAACAGACAAAAGCCCAAAGCCAAAAGGAGGAATTCGGGATTGACGAGCGGCGGCGAAGTCGGATAGACGTGGCCCTGTCCTCGCATTGGCCCTAGCGACCGGTCGCTTTCGGCCGAGTCTACCGGCGCTGAGTCGAGCGGATGGCTCAACGGCGATGCCTCCACCTCTTTGCTTGACCTCTCGTCACCGGCTTCGCGATCCGCCGAGTCAGATTCACGATCCCCAATTGTTTGGGCGCCGGTTGCCGAGTGACCGGCGCCCTGTGACGAGGGCATGACGTAAACAAGCGGCTTTGTGAAGGCGCTCAGGGAGTCGAACAGGAACTCGAGGTCCGAATGCCAGATGCGTTCTGTAGGGAAGGTTGAAGAGGACGGTTCGACGTGAGGACAACTTAAAAGCGAACTTAATCCGAAATTCTACCATTTTTTTCTTGAATATATATATGTATATTTATTTATTTATTTATTTATTTATTTATTTATTTATTTATTTATTTATTTATTTATTTATTTATTCATGGAAGGCTAGGCCTTTTCCCATATCACATTCTGTATCAATTAAACAAAGTTTTATTTTCGTTTAAAACTACCAGCAAATCATATATATGGAAAAATGCCCAGCCTTCCCTGAAATACGCTACAGTATCATGGTTCAAGTTCCGCAAAGGTGTGTTGATAATACCTAGCCAAGGTTGAAACTGCAGTCCACTCCGGATGAGAATAACTTTTGTAAAAGCAAAGTGATGTGAAAATGAATGGAAACATCATGTCTACTCATATTATTATGGAAAAATTCAAATAAAAGCCCTCTTATCACTCTGCACGAAATAGAGTCAATACCGCCATCATATATACACACATATATATATATATATAGTAATTTTATTAGAAAGAGGATTGAATTTTGCTCTTCCAAATGAAGTAAACCATTCTCTGGACATACTTGTTGAATTAATTAGCTTATCTGATAGATTGTCTGAAGAGGTAAGGCATAGTATTAAACTGGAGGTGATCCCTCATTTTGATCACAATATAATTCCGCAAAGAAAGCTTGTCCTGCTAGTAGGGTTTCTAGATATCTCTGCGCTAGTAATCTAATCGTAATGAAAGCTGACAAAGCTGGAGCAGTGGTAGTCATGGTTAAGTCAAGTTGTGTAGAAAAAATGCTAGTTCATTTAAATTACACAAACACGTATATGCTTTTATTGAGAGATCCAACAGAAAGACTTAAGGCTAGGCTAAAGGATGCCCTTAAGGTATGCGTAAGTAATAGTGAAATGGAGATGTGGAAAATGAATTTACTACTCCAGAGAGATGCAAGGGTCCCCACGGCTTACGGTCTCCCTAAGGTTCACAAGGAGGATGCCCCCCTAAGTTTAATTGTAAATAATAAAGGAAGCGTGATGCATAAAATCTCACGTTTTTTTGCATACAACTAAGGAAATC